ATAAAAGTCAGAAATTTTGATTTTATCTAAAGAAAGTAGTACAGAATGTCATTTTCTAAATTTTTATATTGAAAGGGTAGATACTGCAACCTAGAAAATTCCAGATAATCTTAAGGCCCAGCCTATACTGTAGGAGCTACTGCTGCAGACACTCTGCCCCTAGGACTTTTCTGATTGGAGACCCTGAAAACAGTCCCTGCCACGAGGTCACCGCAGGTTCACAGTCCAGAGATGGCCCATGGAAAGCAACTTTTAACCGGGACATCTAACCTTCATTTTCTCCTTGATATTATGGAAATAAAATAAAAACCATGAAAGGATAAAAGAGGGAGAGTGGAAGGGAAGGATAGAGAGAGGGAAAAAGAAAATTTGAGACTAACACCTAAAACAATTAATCACATAGATATTATATTGTGAAAGCGTCATTTTACCAATTTTATTTATGAGTCCTGGGTTTTTTGAGAAGAACGGGGCTCTGAGTGGCACCAGAGACCTCAAATTTTCCAACACCTAGAAGAGTATCATGAAGGAAGGCAGGGAAGTAGGGAGGCAGGGAGGGAGGCAGGGAGGCAGGGGGGCAGGCAGGGACGGAGGGAGGGAGGGAGGCAGGGAGGGACTGAGGCAGGGAGGGAGAAAGGCAGGGAGGCAGGCAGGGAGGGAAGAAGGGAGGGAGGCAGGGAGGGAGGGAGAGAGGCAGGGAGGCAGGGAGAGAGGGACAGAGACAGGGAGAGATAAAAGAAAGAATGAGGTTGAAACCAGGACTTAGATATTAGAAACAAGCCATTACAAAAGTTTATTTCTATGGTTAATTGTGGTTTTCGACTGTAAGTTATGTGGCGTTAATTTCACATTGAACAATTTCTGTGAGTTGCATCTTTTTATCCCATCTCAGATCAAATACTTAACAGACTAAATGATTTGAAAAGCAAAAAGTTACTGGCTTCTGTGTTAAAACGGAGGTAGGGTGGCTTTGATCTTATCTACTTGTGGTGGAGCTGAAGTCACAAGAGAACATTACCAAGCTCCTACCAGACCCCACCCGGAGGCCCCGGTCACTCAGGAGAGATCAGGGTCTTTCAAAATCAGATTCGACCAAATCAAACATCCCCTAAACCACAGCAGTGCCAGTTTCCATGTCAGAAACTTCGATCCAAATGATTGACTCGCGTCTCATGGAAAAGCCCTGGCTTCAGAAAGAAGTCCACTGCAGATTTATTCAAGGCAATACAGACACAGCGTTTGTGTTTTTGCAACATGAGTTTTGAGTTCTAACACGCCGTTTGCTCTTTGTGTGTTTTTTTCCTGTTAGGTGTTTCTGGTGATATAAGGAATCCTGTTACCTGCATTAGAAGTGGTGCCATATGTTATCCACGCTCTTGTCCTGGAAGTTATAAACATATCGGCGTCTGTGGTGTCTCTGTAATAAAATGCTGCAAAAAGCCATGAGGAGGCCAAGAAGTTGCTGTAACTGATGTGGATTCAGAAAGGGCTCCCTCATCAGAGATATGTGACATGTAAACAAAATTAAACTGTGGTGTTCAGATTGACGGAATCTTGATCCTAGTCATTGTGGTCATTGTGTGGTGCTGGTTTGGGTGGGCCAATCTCTAATATCCTTGGAACACCCTTTTCTGCTCTCCAGGCGAGGGTCAAGGATGACACAGTGGGGCTTGGAGTGCTTTCCAGGGTACAGGCATCTGTATTATTTGGATCCCTTGACCTTCTCCGGTTATTCCCGACATTTTGTAGAACGTGTGCTTTGCTCCTCCTGCACCCTCCCCTTGTATGCCTACCCCACGTATTCCCTAAAAAAAGCAAGCCCAACTCAAAGACCACTTTCCTCATGGAATCATAGCGGATCTGCCAAGGGAGGGGATGCCCAGTCCTCTGTTCTTCACAAGGACTCCCTTCTTCTGGTTAAGGTTTCCTATGCAATTACGCCTCCTACAGAGGTGCGTGAATTTTTAATTCTCCATTTAGCTATGAGAGTTCTACTGGTGTGGACTTTGTCTTATTCATTTATGTGCTGGTCATTCATAAGCTATTTCATAACTTGGATGGCAAAATGCAGTTGTACAAGGGTGTCCTTACATACAAACACAATAGGATCCAAGTAAATGCTCTTAAAAATAAGTCTTTTGGAGGGCACAATTAAATGAGGACAATATACCATGGGAAACAAGCAGAGGGGAGCAAACCTCAAGAAGAAAGATGCATCAGCTCTAAAGGGAAGCATCAGGATGGCTCCCTGGCCCCACTGTCTCTCCTTGGGAGGGTTTGCTCCTTCAATCATGAACTCTGTGGGCATATCCTACATGTAGAAGAAGCTCTCTATTTCTTCACATTGACTCTGCACTAAATGTGCACATCATCGACCTCAGGGAAAATGCACCTTAGTTCCAAAATAATCCATTGTCTTTCCTCATCTCAAGACTGAAAAAATTAACCAGACCTTGTTAGAGTAAAAGCATTTCTATCTGGATACAGATTTTATCCAGATGTGATGACAGAGCCAGGACTAGGGTGAAGCGAGGGAGGCTCTGGCCTCAGGCATAAAATATAAGCACTTAGATACTCCATACTTAAGATAGATGATCTCATAATGCGATAGATTTTTTTAAAAATCATATTCATGAAAAAATCATATAATTAACAAAATGTCCAAAACGTAAATCAAGATGGGGTCTAATCCTGTAATTGTCCAACTCAGTTGCACTCACCTACCTTGATTCAGGACAGTCAGATCCTGCCTTTATTTAGTCATTTACTATTCACCATGTATACAGTATTATTTTGAATAAATTAGTGGATTTCCTGGTTCCTGGAAGCATATATCATTTGATTGTATAAAAGAAGTGAAGCTTCACAAGAAAAAAAAATTAAAATGTCACCATGACAATGACATTCATTCCTATGTTCTAGGGGAAGCAGCAAAACTCTCTTAGGAAAAAACTCTCCTTTTATTTGAGAAGACCCTTTCATGGCCATTTGGGTCTTCAAAGACAGGACAGGGAGGAAGACTCACAAGGAGACCAGCATCCTGTGGCATTGAGAAGACCGAGGTCAAAGCTCACACAACACAATACTCCTTGTGTTAGTCTGTGTGTGTTGCTCTAAAGGAATACTTGAGGTGGAATAATACGTCAGGAAAGGAAGTTATTTTGGCTCACTATTCTGCAGGCTGTGTGAGAAGCATGATACCTGCATCTGCCCCTCGTTAGGCCTCAATAAGCCTTCAGTCCTAGTGGAAAGTGAAGTGGGAGCAGTAATATCACCTGGTGAGAGCAGAGCGAGAGGGTGAAAGGAGGTCCCAGACTCTTTTAAACAACTACATGTTGTATAAACTCGGAGCAAGAACTCACTCATTATTGGGATGAAAGCACTTAGTCATTCATCAGGGATTCACCCCACAACTCAAACACTCCCCACCAGATTCCACTTCCAACATTGAGGATTAGATTTCAGCATGAGGTTTCGAGGGGACAAACATCTGAAAAATATTATTCTTCCCCTGGCCCTTCAAATCTCATGTCCTTCTCACATTGCAAAATACAATCATCCCTTTCCAATCACTCCCAAAAGTCTTAATTCCTTCCAGCATTAACTGAATCAAAAGTCCAAAGTCCAAAGTCTCATCCCCTGAGACTCAAGTTCCTTCCGCCTTTTAGCCTGTACTATCAAAAACAAGTTATTTATTTTCAAGTTACAATGATGGTTCAGGCGTTGGCTACTCACCATCATTCCAAAAGGCAGACACTGGACAATAAAAGGGATTACAGGCCCCACACATGTCAGAAACTCAGCAGGGAAGCTATTAAACTTCAAAGGTCCAAAACAATTCTTGATTCCATGTCCACTATTCTGGTGTGAGGGTGGGCTCTGAAGACCTTGGGCAGCTCTGCCCCTGTGGCTTTCCAGGGTGCAGCCCACATGGCTCCTGTCACAGGTCAGAATCTGATGCCTGTGGCTCTTCCATGCTGAGGGTACAAGCTGTCAATGATGCTCCTATTCTCAGGTCTGGACGGTAGTGTTCCCCTTCCCTCAGCTCCACTAGACAATGCCCCACTGGGGATACTGTGTGGGGAATCCAACCCCACGTTTCCCCTTAGCACTGCCCTGGTAGAGTTTTTCTGTTGGTATTCTCCCTCTGCAGCAGCTTTCTGCCTGGAGAACCAGACTTGGCCACACATCCTCTGAAATGTAGGTGGAAGCTGCCAAGCCTCTTTCCTTTTTGCACTCTGCATACTTGCAGGCTTAACACCACATGAAAGCTGCCAAGACGTTATGGCTTTCACCCACTGAAGCGGTGGCCAATCTGTACATTAGGCCCTTTGAGCTGAGGCTGGAGCCTGGGCAGCCAGGATGTGGGAACAGTGTCTTGAGGCTGTGCAGGGCAGCTGTGCCCTGGGTGTGGCCACTGAACCATTCTTTCCTCCTAGGCCCGTGGGCTGTAGTAGGAGGGAATGCCTCAAAGTTTTCAAAAATGCCTTGTAAGCCTTTTCCCCATTGTCTTGGCCATTAGCACATGGCTACTTCTCAGTCATGGAATCTCTCTAGCAAGTGATTCTCCACAGCCCACTTACATTCCTCTTCTCAACATGCTTTTTCTTTCTCTACTAAATTCCTAGCCTGCAAATTTTCCAAACTTTTATGCTTTGCTTCCCCTTTAAATATAAGTTCCATATTTAAATCATTTCTTTGTTCCTGTATCTCACTGTAAGCTTGTAGAAGCAGCCACACATCTTGAGTACTTTGCTCCTTGGAGATTACTTAGACCAGACACTCTAGGTAATCACTCTAAAGTTCAACTTTGCACAAATCTCTAGGACATGGACACAATGCAGCCAAGCTCTTTACTAGGGTGTAACACTCGTGACCCTTGTTCCATTTCCCAATAACTTCCACTTTTCCATCTTACACCTTGGTAGCCTGGACTTCACTGTCCATATCTCTATGAGCATTTTGGTCACATACATTTAACAAGTTTCTAAAGAGTTCCAACTTTCCCTCATCTTCCTATCTTTTGCTGGGCCCTGCAAACTCTTTCAGCCTCTGCCAGTACCCAATGACAAAGCCACTTCCATATTTTCAACTGTCTTTACAGCAATACCCCCTGAACAGTACCAATTTTCTGTGTCAGTTTGTTTATACTGCTATAACGGAATACCTAATGCTGGGTAGTTCATAAGGAAAAGAAGTTTATTTTGGTTCCCTATTCTGTAGGCTGTATGAGTAGCGTGGTGCCAGCATCTGCTCCTTTTGAGGCCTCAGAAAGCTTCCATTTGTGTAGGAAAGGGAAGGGGGAACAGAAGTATCACAAGTCAGGAGAAGGAGCCAGAATTGGGGAGGTGTCACACTGTGTTAAACAATCAGATCTCCCATGACTCAAAGAAGGAACTCACTGATTATCTCTAGGACAGCGCCAAGTCATTCATGAGGGATCCACTCCAATGACCAAGACACCTCCTCCCAAGTCCCAACTCCAAGACTGGGGATTACATTTCAACACAGTATTTGGAGAGTACAAACATCCAACCTGTATCAGACCCCAATTTCCAGTGCACATATCAGAGAGTGGGCCAGTGAAGGAAGCATTGATCTTGAGTGTTGTAGAAAAGAAGAATGCCTTCACTCTTGGGCTATGTTATGATGTGTGCGCACTTGGGCTAAGACTTCCCCACGCCAAAAAAAGTGAAGACTCTGTGAGGGAGTGAGTGGCAATTTCAGGAAGACAGACAAGTCTTGTAAAGTCTTCATCTCCACAGTAATGTGGAGAGAACTCAGAGTCCTCAGAAAGCCATCAGCAAGTAGTGGTGCCAGTCAGCTCTAGATTAAACTGTTCTGCAACTACTGCTCCAAGACATTTTCAAGCCATTCCTGAAACAAACAAACTAATGTATAAAAACCCAAAAATGAAACAAATAATGTCTAGCATTCTTTGGGGGGGAAAAAAACACCAAAATTGTTATTCAGCAGTTTAAGCTGGGCAGTCGTGGCGGTTCATGCCTGTAATCTCAGCACTTTGGAAGGCCAAGACAGGTGAATCACTTGAGGACAGGAGCTCGAGACCAGCCAGGCCAACTTATGTCTATGAAAAATACAAAAATTAGCTGGGCATGGTGGCACAGGCCTGTAGTCCCAGCTACTCAGGAGGCTGAGATAAGAGAATTGCTAAAATCAATGAGGCAGAGGTTTTGTGACCTGAGATTGCACCAATGCATTCCAGCGTGGGCAACGGAGGAAGACCCTGTTTCCTAATTTTGAAAAATAAAATAGGCTTTATTATATACCAAATCCAATAAAAAATTTCCAAGCATGAAAAGAAGTAGGAAAATATGGTCCATAACTAGGAGAAAAGTCATTCAGTAAAAACAAACCCAATAATGACAAAGGTACTGGGATTAGAAAAAGGAATGTAAAGGATCTATTATGAAAGTTATAAATATGTCAAGGGCTGAAGAGTAAACCTTTTTGATGAGGAAGAACACATGTAAAGATCAAAATGGACCTTCCAGCAATAAAACAAAATGAGCATGTGAACAGAAAATATTCTGAATTGGATTTATGACATATGACAGCATAGAAGAAAGGATCAGTAAGGCTGAGTCTACATTAACACAAACAAATGAGGAAATGAAGCAAAGGGAAAAAATAAAAGGCTGGATTAAAAACAGTGCACTTCATAGAAATATCAAGCAATCCAGCACCTACGTGTGTGTGAAGGCAGAAAGAAGTTCCAGGAGAAAATATAAAGTTAATGAAATAATAGCCTATTTTTATTAATGTCGTGAGACTAGAAACATACAAATTTGGTACTGAAAGATATCCAAGAAGAATAATTATTTTAAAAAAACAGAACAAGTATATCATAATTACACAAGTTCATTTTCAGACTGCTGTAAAGATCTACCTGAGACTGGAT